GCTTCGGGTTCGTTTTCACATTGAACGACGAATCCGAGATGACAAGGTTTGACGTTTGAGCCTGTTGGTGGAGGGGAACGAGGTCAGTGGCCTGGAATCTGTACACAAGAGCGGATGGGCGCGCGGGCGGCCCTTTCTCTGGTGCAGGTCCACGGGCAACCGAAAGAACACTTCAAGCACTCACTTAGTCTGTCCTGCCCTGTGCTCGCTGTTGGTGATACAGCGATGACGTCTGTCTGTCACCTTGATGGCCTCACACGTCACTCGTCAACACTTAATTGACTTTCATCATCCACCCGACCACCAACACTGACTCGATTTTAGACTGGTAGGTGACTGGCTTGGTATCCACGAACCTCTCACGGTGTTAGTGTACTAGTGTGTTATCGTTAATATAATATCATAATACTTGTAGTGCGTATTTATAGCTTTATATCATGTCTTGGGATCTAGTGGTCTGGCATCATGTTAAGATACTCTTAGTTACTCTTAGTCTATATCATGATAGCTATCCTGGTCTGACACTAAGGAAAATGAATCAATAAGAATTAGCATTATAGAAGGATAAGATTGGATATAACTGCTTAAATATTGAACAAGATCACTCAAAAACCACGACCTCCCCGTCAGTATATTCTCACGAGCAGACAGATCTCCTGAAGGTGCAATAAACTTAAGGGAATCATAACCTAAATGACCAAGAAGTATCACCCACTCCTTCCCTGGTACTCACAGTCTTGTCACACAGTAAACGAAGATGATTGGTTGGGTCGTCAGCGTGGCCTAGATAGTTAACGTTCTCTTTACCTGTTTATAGCAAGTAGAATGTCTGTTTTATATTCTTAGATAAAGTTAAATAATCTTCCATCATTCATTTGTCATTTTTGATATGTTTTGTTTTAAATCTTGATCGATGTTTATGATTCGTTTTCCTCCCTGTACCTCTCACGTTTCCTCCCCGTACCTCTCACGTTTCCTCCCTGTACCTCTCACGTTTCCTCCCCGTACCTCTCACGTTTCCTCCCCGTACCTCTCACGTTTCCTACCCGTACCTCTTACCTTTTCCTTCCCTCAACTTTGTCTCGGATTCACAGGTTCATTTGAGTCTCGGATTCATGAAGGACTGCCAGGACTCTCTTCCATGACTACGGTACACTAAGACGCACTTTGACCAGTTACTACCAGGCTAATGGATGGAAGTACCACAACAGAACACATCTATCACAACGAATGAAGGGAATACGTATTAGTTTATGATTCTGGCCTCTGTATTACGCGGAAAAAAAACACTTAGATCTTAATGAGGATTTATGATATGCAGTTATAGACTAAGTAACTTTACCAATAACAAAATATATTGTTAGTTACGTCAGGCTGGTAGAGTATAAACATTGAATATTTTTGTTTAATTCTCTAAATGCATAAATCTAACAATAAATGGTGCTGTAGAAAATATAAATAAACGTTGAACTTGCTCCTGTGTGTGTGTGTGTGTGTGTGTGTGTGTGTGTGTGTGTGTGTGTGTGTAAAAGGCAGTGATGTATATAATCCGTACATCCGTACATTTTTAATAACTTCACAATATGCCCTCTACTGAGCCTCGAGTCAGTTATGTTGTTGTCGTCAGGTGTGTGAGTGTGTGTGGGGGTGGGGGGTGGGGAAGACTCAGGAGACTATTGGCTCACTCACAAATATTTTAATCAGATATAATTCTTGTTCCCTACAGATGCTTGAGTTGTTAGTGGCTTAAAACAGCATGTGTTTCAGGTCCTCGTCAAGGAGCGTGTGTGTGTGTGTGTGTGTGTGTGTGTGTGTGTGTGTGTGTGTCCTGTCTGTCTGTCTGTCTGTCTGTCTGTCTTTTCTTCTGTCTCTTTATCCGATCCAACAAGATTCTGAAAATTGTTGTATACATTTTGGACAGACAACAGATGGGCTTGTCCGATGGTTCTGTTGTCTTGGTAGAATTACGACGTGAAGTTTGTCTGCATACATAGCTCTCGGTCTTGACGTCAGCAGCTTAAGTAAGTGGATTAGTTCATCACCATCATTCCCCCAAAAGAAAACTGAATTATTTATGACACGTTAACTGCGTCTACAGCCAGTCTTCAATAATTTAAAACCAAGCACTAATATTTTTGAGGTCTTATTTACTCCTCGAGGTAGACATTGTTTTGGTAATACCTGAAATATTATATAACTGTAATACTATATACCTGTAATATTATATACCTGTAATATTATGTGTCTATAGTTTACTGTAAAGCTTAAAATGGAGAAACATTGACTTAAATACGATAAAATATTTGGCTGAAAATGACACGTAATTGTATTCTCCAAGATTCTCGCACAAAGAAATAATTAATGAACATAGCCAACCATACCTGTCTTCATACACAGGTTAATTACTGGCTGTCCTTCGTGTCGTACTCATTAAAAACACACTTAAGTAGTATTGCCCGAGAGATACAATACTGTGTTGCTATAGAAGTCAGGTAACAACACTTATACACAACACCACACAACACCTACCTATTACACTATGGGTGATGCTAATTGATCTGTTACCTGGGCATCGTGTGGTCCTCATTCTCACTAATAGAGTGGCAAACACACATTGATTCCTTGGCTAACTTTATCCTTACTCCAAGATGCCAAGAAAAAGTAAGTTATTCATTAGGTGTTTGGCAGAGATGTCTTGGGTGAGTAATATAACTTTTAGGCTAGACGAGTTGCCTCCCTCTTGACTAGGAAATGGTCCGTTCATCAGAGGTCTCTCAGTCTTTTAGTTATACTTTATGCTCATCGATGTATATTTGTCATTCTTTCATTCTTCTATTTCTATAATTATATATTTATCTTTTCATATATCTATGTATTTGTCTCTATATCTATCTGTTTATCTGCCTCTCTGATAGTCTAATTACTTAAGTTTTCTCTTGCTAAACAACAACAACTGTGGTTGTAGGCTGAGGAGTATCAGAGACTGGGGCTGCTTAACAGATGTGCCATTAACAGGTCCCTTCCCTTCCCTTCCCTCTCCCCTTCCCAGTGTTTCCTCTCCCTCCCTCCTCCCTCCCCTCCCTCCTGCTTCCTTCCTTTGCCTTCCCCTTCCCCTCCCCTGCACCCTTCCTCCCTCCCTTCTCCTCACCCTCTCCCCCTCTCCTCACCCAGCGCCTCACCTACCTGTCTGCCACATCTCCCTCTCACCCTCTGTCAGGAACATCCCCGTCTACCTCAAAGGTAACTTCACATGCCATGTCACTTTGCCTTTGTAACATCAGTTGACTACCGAGTTTACAGACCAGCTCTTAGTCATGCATGATATAGCTTTCCTGAGTCTAATTTTGTTATTGTTTTAAGAGTTCAACTATTTTAACACAATTAAAATCCATAAACGGCACTGCAGTTTATTACATGATCACGACAAGTTACATATAAACCAGTGTAAGATATTTCACTCTTATTATACCGATGAAGTGTAAATATTATCAACAAGAGACAAGTTGACAGAGAGGGGGACGTAAGTGTTGATGATGTAAGATTAATGAAAGTTTTCCCTGCCATCTGAGAGCTCGTGTGTGTGTGTGTGTGTGTGTGTGTGTGTGTGTGTGTGTGTGTGTGTGTGTGTGTGTGTGTGTGTGTGTGTGTGTGTGTGTGTGTGTGTCATCTGCCTCTTGTTCTTGACTGTAAACTATATCAGTGTGTGAACCTTTAGTCTCTACTGTCATCATTATAGGTGTAGTGTATGGCGCTATATGTCTGTCTGTCTCTCCGCCTGTCTGTCTGTCTGTCTGTCTGTCTGTACGCTCGTCTGTCTCTCCGTCCGTCTGTTTGTACGTTTGTCTGTGTCCGTCTCTCTGTTTGTCTGTCTTCGTCTTTGTCTTTCTGTCTCCGTCTGTCTGTCTGTCTCCGTCTCTTTGTATGTTTGACTGTTTCTCCGTCTCTCTATCCATCAACATATAGTTTTCCAGAGCGTAATTTTGACCTCCAATAACCACTAATCGTAACATTAATTTGACCTCTCTGTATCTATTTAGTCTCACTGGGTCAAAGGTCAAGGTCAATGCTGCTAAAAAAAAAAAAATTCCCTCTGAAACTTGCCGTGAATTTTCCTTCTCTTGGTTGAACACGACACGAGGTTGGTCTGTTGCCTGTAAGGAATATAAACTTCACTGTTTTATCTCTAGGATCTCCTGAGTGTATTCTGTATAAAACACTATTGGGTTTTTAATCAGTTTTAAGTTCGAAAGGTTAATGACGATGTGACTAAATCATAACCAAAACAGGTTTGTGTGTGTGTGTGTGTGTGTGTGTGTGTGTGTGTGTGTGTGTGTGTGTGTGTGTGTGTGTGTGTGTGTGTGTGTGTGGAGTCTGTTGGATTTCTGTTTTGGTTTATTTATTTCTGTTTTAGGGTTTATTGATGAGGAAAGGCGATGATGTAAGGAGGATATGGGTGTGAGAGAGGAGAGAGAGAAGGTGAGAGGGAAAAGGAATGGAAGTGTTGAGATAGGAGGTGAGGAGGAGAGAGAGGGGGAAGTGGAGAGAGAGAATGAGTGTTGAGATGAAGAGAGGAAGGGAGGGAGAGAGAAGGGAGGTAATGGAAGATGGATGGAGGAGAGAGGGAGGAGGAGAGGAAGAGAGGTGGAGGAGGGGGGGGAGGACTGCAGCTGTGTGTTGGCAGAGTGACAAAAGCCATATACCATGTCATACACTTCAGGTTGTGTTCCCCGCCCACCACACCGTCATCTCTGTTAGCCTCATGCTCCTTACTGCTCCTTCAAGGCCAGTGTCTTACTTGAGGGCCTGTGTGGTGCCTGTGTCATCTGAGGCCCCCGTGTCATACCTGTGTCATCTGAGGGCCCCGTGTGTCATACCTGTGTCCCATACAGTGTCATACCTGTGTCATCTAAGAGCGTGTCATGTGTCATCTGAGGGCCCGTGTCATACCAGTGTCATCTGAGGCCCCGTGTCATACCAGTGTCATCTGGGGCCCCCGTGTCATACCTGTGTCATCTAAGAGCCCGTGTCATACCAGTGTCATCTAAGAGCCCGTGTCATACCAGTGTTACTTGCCGTTATGATGTGCTACTATGAGTCTTGTCACTTACTGCTTTAAAAGAGACATAACTTATAAATAATAATGTTGCCTCACCTTAGTGTTATTTATGCGGCCTAAGTGAACATTACATAGTGACGTAATATATTGAATAGTGACCCTGAACACCAAGAGGAACAAGATATTTCACACTGTTTCATACTTTGTCACTTTGTTTCGTAAGATAAATTCGGTTTTGGTGTTATTCGTTTATATGAGATAATAATAATTGAAGAACTGTAAGTATTTATTTTTTTATTTATTTTTATTAATATTTACGTTTTGTTGGTTGGAAGGGTTTGTTATTAATGATGGTACAGGTGGTTAGCGGTAAGACCAGAGGGGGCTGATAGTAGGAATTAGTTATGAGTGATTCGTAATGTTTTGTTTACACACACACACACACACACACACACACACACACACATACCTAAAACTGTGTGAGTATTATACCTGAACATAATAAACAGCGTCTCTTCCACATAAACATAACCTAACATATTAATTAAACATCATTTTGGTAATATGTACAGGTGTAATTCCAGCCCCGTGCAGATAATAATGAATTAAGGTCAGTTATCAGCTGTTACATTACAAACTTCACTCACTAGTTACAGACAATTTCTACCTCAACGAATTCTGAAATATTTAAAAACCTCAGTGTATGAGTAAACTTTTTAGGGTCAAACTATAAAACAATAATAAAACTATGAGTTAAAAGTTTGAAATTATGGTTTATTAACAATGAAGACAAGATTTAGCATTTAATAATTTTCCCTTCGTTTCTGGGACGATTTCTATGTTAATTCACTTACCGTGCTGTACCTTGGTTCAGTGCCGCGATATACCTTGGTTAAGTACCGTAATGTATACCTTGGTTCAGTCCCGTAATATACCTTGGTTCAATCCCGTAATGTATATCATGGTTCAGTACCGCTTGTACCTTGGTTCAGTACCGTCCTGTACCTTGGTTCAATACCGTAATACACCTTTAGCACCACAAACGCCAGCCAATGCCATAACACACGCCGAATATTCTGTATAATATTCCCTTCAACACTTTACTCACTACAGCAAAATATTCAGAAAATTCTCTACTTTTTGTTAACAAGAATTCAAAGGTCACAGAATTTTAAAATGTTTTTTTTTTTTTTAGCTTGTCATTCACTTAAATTTTTTGTTTATTTTCAATCTAGACACAACCGCGAACAATTATTATTTTTGTGTGAATGTTTTGGACGGGCGGGAAATGGCGAGAGACGAGAATGGTGAATCGTTACATAAATTAACTACGATTCTCAGTACATTATATCACGTTTCACAATATTTTAGATGTGTCTCATTATATTCCTCTACTCCTTGTGTATATCTGTATTGGTAATGTTTTTGCATGGTCAGTGTACAGTATAGTAAAACCTCTATTGACGAACTATGAAGAGAAAAGTCCTTTATAACGATGGTCCATTAGATGTGAAAACCTCCGTCTAACTAACTATATACAGATGGAAGTCCACTATATAGAGGGTCCATAACTAAAAGCCCTTCTAGTTAGCAGTTCTGGCCTAATGTTTACCCTCACTACCACGACCAACACCGGATGCTGTCTTCCTCAACATTTTGGGAATATGACCGTGACCAAGGCCAGAGATGATGGTGCCAAGGGCCTCATGCCACAAGGTCACGTTAGAGGAGGAGAGGAGGTAAATCAGTCGTGTTGCTTCTCGAAATAACGATGGGAGGCAGCTCGACATACTCAGCTGGTTTTACCCATAGATCAGGAGTGACAGAGAAATCTCCCTCACCCATCTTGCTCACCAATCTTTCTCACTCATCTCCGTCACCCATCTTGCTCAACAATCTTTCTCATTCATATCCCTCATCCATCTCCTTCACCCATCACCCATCTCGCTCACTCATCTCCCTCACCCATCTCCCTCACCCATCATCCATTGGTCAAAGATCATGGTAATACGCCAGCCTCCTACAGGTAGCTCACACCAAAAAGTTTCTTTACGGAGGGTGATCGATTAATGTCACAATGAACACTACGACTCCTGTTGTCTCGGTAGGGTTGTCATAGTCCTTCGTCCGTTGTGTCATATTGTCTCACACAAAATCGTAGAGATAGTTTTGGAGTTAGTAACTATTCGTCCATTATATAATAAATGACTAGATATACTAGATTAGGTTAGATTAGGTTAGGTTAAGTTAGGTTAGGTTAGGTAAGGTTAGGTTAGGTTAGGTTAGGTTAGGTTAGGTTAGGTTAGGTTAGGTTTACTAGTTTTTTGACTGTTGGTCCTACAATGTGATTACCTTAGTTTAACAAAAATCTAGTTACACTTACCTTTAATAATATCATAATACCTATTTCATTTTTCTTTCAGATTTCAGACGTCCATGTGTGGCCTCGCTAAAGTCATCCTATTAATTCTAAGTGAGTACATTCATCCGTGTATTAGTTATCAAAATCTACTTTATTCCTACTTTTATTCTTACTTTTATTACTTATACTTTCCTTCTAATATCTCGTCTCAAGAAGGATATAGATTTATGTAAACTTTTGACGTCTAATCATTGCCCTCTTCATCACCACACCTGAGTGAGAGAATGAGAGTAACGTCTCGTGTGGTGTTATTAATTAAGAGGAGTCCAGGTGTAAGTTACTTTACAGGTGAGAATATTTTACCTGTTCTTAGGTCACTGTTTATGATACGACAGTACTTGATTTTTAACTTTGTCGTGTTGGTATCTTTATTTTAGAAGCGTTGTGGTATACGAGTATATTAGAATTTGATTTTTTTTGGGTTAATGAGTTGCAAAATGTAGATTAATCATTCCTAACTTACATACTTACTAACTTACATACAGTTAATTAATTTATAATATCACCATTAATATGAGCAAATAAGAATCATTACTATTTATATCATTATGGAGTCCTAATCCTTCGTCAGCCGCACAAAGTTACTGCGTCTGGTCTTCTCTTCCTTTCATGGCTGAGGAGGAACATCATGGATTTATCTGGCTTCATTAAAAGAAAAATATAGGATTCCAATACCCGCCGAGCTGCATGGCCTTCCCCTGAGTGAGCGACAGATCCCCTCACTAGAATGGCGGAAAGTTCAGTTGGGCGGAAAATCCCTACTAATTATTCTGATTATTTCATGAGGTTAATTTTATAATGTAAATAATATTAACTATATCAGTGTTGGGTTATTGGTTGTTGGTCTAATAGAGTTTTGATGTTTGTGGGGTTATTCCTTCAATTATCTGAATGTATTATGCTTTGGGAGTTGATTCCTAAAAAGAAAACCGCCTCTCCATGACCCAGTGAGGCACATGACCCCTCCCCCCCCCAAAAAAAAAACCACACAAACATCTTAGCTAATGAATAAAATACCTCATGAATAACTAACAAGAGAATTATACATTTTTCAATACAAATCAGTTTCTTTTGCATTAACCACAAATAACATGAACCTTAGAGTAACTTTGTCGTGATATAAAGTGATAGTTAATATAAAATCAGGTTTCTGGAGTGCGTATGTTTGTATATTCCGCGGCGTCAGTCACAGTGGAGGCGTCAAGTGGGAGGATAATAACAACAACAGCAATAATAATAATAATGATGATAATAATAATAATAATAATAATACACATTAATCGTATTTAACTCTCTATGGAATACTTACAATACTTACGATACTCAGAATTATCAATATTAAACAGAATTAAATCTCAAGTAATTCTCCTCCTCCATTCTCTCACTTTCACCTCACCTCTCCATCTATCGCTTCACTTTCTCTCCTCCGATCACTATTCCTATGGTAAGTGCACCAATGAAATCAAATCCATCAATCCCTTTCAGTTTTAATCGCAGCAGACGTCGTTCTTTATCCAGCCTCCCCTTCTGTACCTTCCTGTTAAATCCATTAAGTCGAAATTTCTCGTCAGTCGTTCATATCTCTCTCTCTCCTATTCACGTCTTTTAATTCGGCAACTAAACTTAACACAGGTAATTCATAACATAGGTAATTATATCACGTGTAGATATAACACAGGTAATTATAACACAGGTAATCAGAAGACACCAACATCGAGGTATGATTATTCCTATAACCAATTCTATTCACAATCAAATTCAGACAACCAGACAACCTTGGATGAACACACACACACACACACACATATATATATATATTAAACACATATAACAATTGCTATACTCTAACACTATAATATATACATTTCAATAATCCTGTAAAGCTTACCACCCAAATCCACCTCAACACCATGATGCACGGTATAGTCTCATCCTGCAATTATGATTCTCTGCAACATAACTATTTGTGTGCACTAAGCATCATTAACATGGCATCAAAAGTTAAGTTGTTTGTGATGGATAGTTAAACCCTTTGTTACGTTGACCGGATACGTTGATATTAATGTAGTAAACTGTATTATATTAACTGTGGGAGCCATTCCATTTGAGAGCTGGTGTGTGGCAGTAAAGGGTTGAGAGGTAAGGGGTGGGTTAGTGGTGGTACAGTAAGGGGTAAGGGGTGGGTATAGAGGTTAGTGGTGGTACAGTAAGGGGTAGGTAGAGAGGTTAGTGGTGGTACAGTAAAGGGGTGGGTAGAGGTTAGTGGTGGTACAGTAAGGGGTAGGTAGAGGTTAGTGGTGGTACAGTAAAGGGTAGGTAGAGAGGTTAGTGGCGGTACAGTAAAGGGTAGGTAGAGAGGTTAGTGGTGGTACAGTAAAGGGTGGGCAGAGGTTAGTGGTGGTAGTGGTGGTACAGTAAAGGATGGGCAGAGGTTAGTTGTGGTACAGTAAGGGGTAGGTAGAGGTTAGTGGTGGTACAGTAAAGGGTAGGTAGAGAGGTTAGTGGCGGTACAGTAAAGGGTAGGTAGAGAGGTTAGTGGTGGTACAGTAAAGGGTGGGCAGAGGTTAGTGGTGGTACAGTAAAGGGGTGGGTAGAGAGGTTAGTGGTGGTACAGTTAAGGGGTTAATGGTAAATGGGTAAGCGGTGGTCTAAGTAGGTGTTGATTATTTAAGTTTTAGCTCAGGTTTGGCCGGAACACGAGAAACACATTGTTGTCATAGAGTTGGTTATCTCCCAATAGGTGAAGACATAAGATGGGATTCTACTGTCAGCTTTGTTTTATCCCACTCCTTCAGGATATGTGCTCTCCTACACCATCCATGATTCCCTTCCTATGACCCGTATATACACCATCTCCCACCATCCATCACACTCAATGATAAATCACCCTTTTCCTCTCTCTCTCTTGCTCTCCCTACCGCCTCCCCTTCCTTCCTTTAATAATCATTCCTCCTCCTCCTAGCATCTAATCCTCCTCACCCTCTTCATTCACCCATTCCTTCTTAACTGTACCACCACCATTTACCTAAATCACCGTACCTGGAATAGCATATATAAGACTTTTTCTTCCTTGAACTGGAATCTATAAGTCTCGTATCCAAGAAATGAACCTCTTCAGCCTCACATCTGAGACCAGAGAAAAGTTTTTGTCCTGAGGCAAGCTAAGGTCTTCGCTCCCTGGAACCAAGTCTTCTAAAGCTCTATCTCAGAATGTGTGTAGGTGATGTCTTGTGGCCTAAGGAGTGAGTTTTGTAAGAGTCCTATCATCTGTTGGAGACAATCTACTGTAGTTAAGAGGATGGAAAAGGAAACTCGTGATTATTAGTTTTTGTTAATGGAAGTTACGGAATGCGTGCGTGAGTACGTGTGTGCGTGTGTGCGTGTGTGTGTGAAACTACGTTTACAGCAAACTAAAACTCAAGCGTCTATGGAAACACTACAAAACCCTTTTAGGCGTGATATATATTATTGAGGGAGAGACGAGGTCACAGGAACACACGCCGTAATATTACACACACACTTATACAGTAAATTATAATGTGTTTTGCGAAATCACTGATCCAACAGCATTGAAATGCATGCCAGAGAATTTTTCGTTCACTTGACAGCATACAAGAACAAACAACAGAGCGGTGGGCGTTTCAGCGAACGAATTATACATCATACCGAGTCTCTCTCTCTTTTGTTGGCTTCGCCTCTGGCCGACACGTGCTCACTGAAGTAAAAAGTCTGTCAGAGAGTAATTATTTCTCTAACTGTGTAATATGAATAAGTTTTTTAAAGAAAAATTTATGTCATAACTTACTATGTTTCGTGTATTCACTATCGGTAAGGATTTTGTGGGTTTAAAACGTCAAACTTTTAATCCAAGAACGATGGAGGTCTCTCAAGTGCTGGCAGAGAGGGTGACGACCTGGTACTGACCGTCACCTATACCTCATACTTAAGCATCGTTCTTCTGAAGTGATTATTATATTAACACTAGTTTATACTAATAAATTGAACTATTTACTGTGTATAGTGAAGGGGTCAGTGAGAATCCAGCTGTGACTAAACCTCTATTACTGAACTGCCAATAACTGATGACTGCTTGGTAACTGCGTACACTGGAGACCTGAGAACGTATAGTCTTGATCACCATAAACCTCGGGATGTTATGTTTCCTAATGTATTCAATCGAGGAGGAATTAATCTCAGTTAGTGAATTTCGGATAATTATTTCTCCGGTTGTCGGTGATATATTGTGATTGATAGATAGTGACAGGTCGTTAGTAAAGTTATGGTTAGGTTAAGGGTGATTAACTGTCGAATTGGAGATGGTTTAATGTGTTCCTTGAGTTAATTGTACTTACCGACGGTTACTATTACGGAAGGACTGAATGGTGATGGATAATTAAACCTGGTAGACTATCTCCTCTAATAGACTATCTCCTCCAATAGACTATCTCCACTAACACCTTCACTATAGGGACGCCGCTTTTAATATTTTATTGGGTTAACTCCAGATGATTTTATTCAGCAGAAAGCGAACTCTCTACACAAGTGGTTATTGGGGTGGTGGTGTGTGGTGGTGGTGGTGTGTGGTGGTGGTGGTGTGGTGGTGGTGGTGGTGGTGGTGTGTGGTATTGGTTGTGTGTGGTGGTGGTTGTGTGTGGTGGTGGTGGTGTGTGGTGGTGGTGGTGTGTGGTGGTTGTTGTTAGTAGACTATTTCCACTAACGAGATGGAATTCTATAATCTAAGAGAAATTCACTTGTCAATTAAATATTTGGAGTTTTTCTGAACATTCTCGTCAATAAAATGTAACCATTCTGTGAGCGCCGTTCCGGTCGTTTAGCATTTATAAAACTTGAACACAACGCCTGGTTATAATTTGAGTATTAACAATTATTCAGGTAAATCGACGCAGCTTTGCATGTAAATCATTATGTAAATCAATATCGTGAATAATTAATATCGAGAATAATCTTGTCCCTCTCTGCCCCATCAATGCTCGCTACGTCTATTGGTTTGACACTACCGACTGATAATGTGTGGACAAATTAAAGCACGATTTGTATTCATATATAAATGTACACAATTAAATTATATAAGTTTAGGTGGAGAAATAGCTTGTTATCCCCGGTCGTCAACAGATGGCGGCACAATTCTGTTTTATTAATTTAAGATCATTTTTCAGAGTGAGTTTGATGGATGTGTATCTAGAGGTTGAAGGAAGGTCTCGGTATATAACGTTACCTGTTATTAAGGACAGTGCGGATACAGCATACTAAACCTTCGGTACACAAGGAGGCAGCATGGCCGGTACTACACTTAACTGCCTTCATTTCCCCAATTTATAAAGTTAGTGGTATTACCCGTTATAGAGGAGTGAATTGGGAGTTTCCTCAGGATCGAACCACCGACCTTTAGTATAGGAGACGAGCTCTGTATCCATTCAACCACCGCACTCCGTTATTAACTTCGGTAAATCATATTCCCAAGTTGCAGCTGCTTGAACTATGCCAAGCAGTTACCCAACTTTGTGACAACTAATAGCAGCTTCACAGTGAATCTTGTTATCTCTGTTAGTCCGATGTTGCTCTCAAGGTGACCCGAGATGAGGTTCCAGCTATATCCCGTTCAGTGCATAAGATCAGTAACACATCGTGCGTGACGGAGGACACACTCGAATCACAACCCAACCCAACCCATCCCAACCCATCCCAACCTATCCCAACCCATCCCAACCCAACCCAACCCAACCCAACCCAACCCAACCCAACCCAACCCAACCCAACCCAACCCAACCCATCTTAGAATCCTTAAAAAAAATATAATTGTGTCTCAAGTTATCAAAGTCCAATATGGTTACAGTATACTTACTCACCATTGGTCCCAAGGCTTTTAGTGTAATTGTTGCTCTCAGCACTAATGTTGACGTGAGCTGTACCCCCAGTGTTGTGTGACGGTAATGAGCTATTACTGAAGGTATTAAGACAACCTTTTAGTAACTTGTCACACAAACCTACAGTTGTAACGTCTTGTTATAGTTCAATGGGATAGTTAACATTATATTAAGGAAAAACAGAATTAAATAGATTAGACGAGAAGTTACCATGTGTAAAATATAATAGAATGTTGTCTTTACGCCTCAGTAATTGGCCAACAGGAACACACCAGCATCAAGTGTCTACAATGCATGACTTGCCTTCAGAGACAGTGTACACAAGGCGAGGGAGTGTACACCAGCAGTTAAGGAGATTGGTACTACTGTGTCGGGAGTTAAGTGGCGCGAGTTAATGAAGTTAACTTGTTAGTGGCGCTATTTGCTGGCTGGCTGAGGCAGGAGATGACGGGTCTTACTCCTCCTCCCACCTTCCCTGCTAACACATCCCTGCCCACTACTGCCACCAACACATCCCTGCCCACTCCTGCCACCAACACATCCCTGCCCACTACTGCCAACAACACATCCCTGCCCACTACTGCCACCAACACATCCCTGCCCACTCATACCCCATTGCCACCTCTTGCCACATAAAGTTTCTTCACAATTATCAAACTTTATTCCTACTTATTTTTTAGGGAGTTCCTGAACTACCGTAATTATTCAGGGTAATTATCGAATACAGAAATAACTCTGTCTCAATGAATACAAATACTAAATACAGACGTTATTTTGTATCTGTCTTGAATGCTTAATTGATGGCAGCTGGTTTTCTTTTTTTGTTTTATTGTTAAGCTGCATGAATGGAATATAAACAATCGTGTCTGTTAAATGCTGATACGTGATGATAAGCGGTATTCAAGGTCCATTAGACTTGAAACCTCATATAACGGGCTATATAGGGGTGTACAGTCCTTTATATCGAGGTGCATTAAATGTGAAACCTCATATAATGGACTATAAAGGGGTGTACAGTCCTTTATATCGAGGTGCATTAAATGTGAAACCTCATATAACGGACTATATAGGGGTGTACAGTCATCTATATCGAGGTGCATTAAATGTGAAACCTTCATATAACGGACTATATCCATTATAGTGATATCTTTAAATGGATTTTTTTTATTGTATATTATCAGCTTTTAACCTCCTTCCTCCTGGCAACACACAACTACCACGTTGCTGTCACTCGGAATCGAGGATGACGTTCACCCAGCTAAGATACAATGATATGAGTTATTCGGGATGTCACCTTCATTGGTGAGTTTTGAAGTGACTAAAGTGGCCGATACGGGACCGGCAGGGTCGGTCACAGATGTTGCACATGTAGAGGGCTACATCAGGTGCGGGAGGGGCGGTGGCAGCGTCTTTCCGACGTTGGCGCTTGTTTGCCTCGGTTTGCAGTCGGGCTAACTTGAAAGTATTGACACCTTCTCGTGTAGTGCTCCTCCAAGCGCTACGATGTGGAGTAATCATCTCCCAGGTGAGGGGGTCGATTTGGTACTTTTCAGGTTTTTCTTAAAACTATCCTTATACCTTTTCAGTTTGATAATTGTGAAGAACCTTTATGTTGCAAGAGGTGGCAATGGGGTATGAGTGGGCTGGGATGTGTTGGCAGAGGGGTGGCAATGGGCAGGGATGTGTTGGTGGCAGAGGGGTGGCAGTAGTGGACAGCGTTATGTGAAGTAGCTGCTTGGTCATTCTACTGTCGTCCTTGCGGGTAACATGGCGCATCTGCATAGGTGCTTAGGATCTCCTGTAGGACGTGTTCAGTGTGAGCAACAAGGTTGAGGTCGTCTGCATACTGAAGTTCAGTTATGGAAGTTGCCGACACCTTTGCTCTTGCCTGGAGTCGTCTTATATTGAAAAGACCCCCTTTACCCGGTACTCGCTGTCCACCCCGCCGGCTAAATTGCCGGCGGGGTAGAAAAGAGAGTTGGTGCCAGTTGTTTAACCCCTGTTTGGATGGGGAAAAACTCTGACTGGGCGCCATTGTGCAGGACACTGCCATTCATGCCATCGTGGAGTTGCCTCACAATGGCGATGAACTTTAGGGGGTAGCCAAAACGGCTAAGGGTTCACCAGAGGGCTTCCCTGTTGACCGAGTCGAAGGCCTCGGTTAGGTCGATGAAAGCTATGTATAGGTCGCGACGCTGTTCTCTGCACTTTTTCTGTATCTAACGGGCATCAAAGATCATGTCAGTGATGCCACTTGAGTGTCTAAAGCCACATTGTGATTCTGGGAGGAAGTTTTCCGCCTCAGGAAGTCTGTTCAGGAGGACTCGGCAATAATCTTGCCGGCTGCGGACAGCAGCGAGATCCCGCGGTAGTTGCCACAGTTTGACTGGCTGATAAGCAGAGATCTCCTGCTTTATACACCTCTTACACCTTGGCTGGGATTCCATCAGGCCTTGAGGCTTTGTTATTTTCCATCTGTTTGATGGCAGTAGCTACCTCATCCAGGGATGGGTAGCTGAGGTGGGTCAGCTTTGGATGCTGAGGGACCTGCTAGGTAGTCAGGACATCCACATTAGTGCTTCAGTGATTTTATCAAGATTTATCTTATCCACGTTTTCATTGTGGATCTACATGAAAAAAAAAATAAATAAATAAATGAATATATATATATACATATATATATATATATATATATATATATATATATATATATATATATATATATATATATATATATATATATATATATATATATATATATATATATATATATATATATATATATATATATATATATATGCTTTAGCTTCGGATAATTGCAAACTTTACATTGAGAAAAGTTTTGATTTAATATTCGTGAAGAAAGTTGGTCAATCATAACTTAGCCAGTCAGCTTCATTTCGACTTTTTTTTCTTATACGCAATTTGGTTCAATAGTCAATCGTAAAAGTTTCTCATTCCCCCTACCTCACCTTCCTCCCCCACCCCTCTTACCCCGCCCTCTCCCATCCTCCATCCCCCCGTACTGTGTTGTTGTGGGTAAAAGTTGATTCTTATGGTCTGAACTTTCTCAGGGATCACGTAGCTAAAATATTAATTCAGAGGAGGTATTGAGGGTAACAGATTGGGTTAAAAAAAGTGACAGATGGATTGACAGAGAGAAAAAAATGAGCCAGAAGAACTGACAGAAAAAAATCAGACTGACAGACTGAAAAATTTATAAATGAACAAGTTTACAGATACACAGACAATGATTCTATGTATATGTACAGTATATGTGTCTGTGAATATATGTACACTGAATTACAGGTATATAAAATTTACTAACAACACAACACAACACAACACAACACAACACAACACAACACAACACAACACACAACCGGACCTTCGACATAACGGACTTTCCTCTCCCTCTAGTCCGTTAAATAGAGGTGTCACTATACTGCTACTGTTTATATTAGGTCATTTCACATACACCTGTCCTGTCTCTCACCTGGCGAGATGACAAGTGATATTTACATATGTTCATTTTGATTCATTTATGGAATATTTCAATATTGATAAGTGTCTCAGTTTTTAATATCCTGCTAAATGGCTTTTCAATGCTGGAATGATATGTAAATGAAGAAGAAATAATAATAAGAGTATAGAAGGTAAAAAATAGGAGAAAGGGAGGGACGAATAAATACAGGAACAAGCAAAGGGTAAGAGAAGGGGATAAAAAAATAGAATGAGATGAAAAGACACGAGAGAAAAATAATTATTAACACAAAACTTCATATTGTTCAATCTTCTAATAATTGAGGTCATAATAAAGTAAACTCCCTCCCAAAATTTTTTAAACAGGTTAGGTTAGGTTAGGAAGCTCGGGTCTGGGGAATTAGGTTAGGTTAGGCTAAGAAGCTTGGTTCTAGGGGGTAAGGTTAGGTTAGGTTTGGAAGCTTGGGTCTGGGGGGTAAGGTATTGAACCACACACACACACACACACACACACACACACACACACATACACCGTCTCACTGGATCCATCTGAAAATATAAACATTTTCTCATTGGTTTGGTTTAATATGCATAGAGATTTCAAATACCACCTGGTGTTGAAGGACCATTTGGTGAGATTTGGCGAGGAAACTGGAGATTGGTGGATTGAAGCGGGATGATTGGTTGTTTAGAGTCTAACTGGATGATTGGGTGCTAGTGAGTGACGAAGGAGATCGGGAGGAAAGGGTTATATCGAGATGGTTAGAGTGTAGGTGGGGTACAGTAGAGTGAGTGGTAGCAAGGGGTACAGTAGAGTGAGGGGTAGCAAAGGGTACATCAGGGCGAGGGGTAGCAAAGGGTACAGTAGAGTGAGGGGTAGTTGGGAGTACAGTAGAATGAGGAGAAGTAACGGGGGTACAAAAGCATGAATGGACGTTGAGATTACAGCTGGGTGAGTGGCAGCAGTGGTTAA